ACTCGATCAAACTTTTATTTCTATCACTGACTTTCCAAGAATGGTTAAAATACGGGTATTCAATGGTCCAATACTGCTCACTCATATTATTCGGAACTATCAGCGAACATTTGTCAGAGGACAAAGGTGACCTTTTAAGCCGGCTCCATTCATTTCACTAGTACCCGCAATAAGATTAAATACTATAAGGTCTCTCTGCACGAACAAAACAACTCATTGACCCTTATCCACCGTTTCGATAATCATGAAATATTTTCCCAAAAAACAATCGCACACGCAAGTAGCACAACTGTTTCACCTGCACAACGAGTTTGATGGTTGGTGTCATCTCACGATCAAGCATAACACCAGTCCAACTGATCACACCCGACCCCGCACCGATAACGAATTCGGCGCGAGGATTCAGAATGCGATACATGACGGCTTCATCAACACTTGGATCGACTGCAGTGACTGTGAGTAAGGGTTGGGGGATTGCGGAGGATTGGTTCTCTCTCAATGAAACGCGATACTCGCTCTGCAGAAAATGGAACGAATCCGCATTTGTTGTTGCATTACGAATTGTCACTATGAGCGAGGCTGAATCCGAATGAACACCGTCGGAAACAACCAATGGAATCTGAAGAGATGTGAATGTATATCAATAANGTACAAAGTAACAGTGGTCAGTGGAATCACTAAAGCTGTCGCACTGCAGTGTTATTCAAAAGTAACTGCAGTGTGCATGAACGGGCATATTCTTACCCTTTCTAAAGCATTCATCAACAATTTAATGTCAGAAGTCTTTTCTAACAAGGAACAGAGTCGAAAATTTGAATTTGAAAGAGAGTGAGATCAAAAGCTAACGTTGTATTGTTTCTTAGTGAAATCTGTTGAATGGTTCATATTGACGCGAACCACACCTTCGAATTCATCAATTCTGAACAAACTTCTGGCCTCATTCGATTTGATGGCGAAACGCAATCGACCAACTGTATCAACATCGTATGCTGGCACTTTTGCTACCACAACGCCTGAATTTTGGAAATGAGGGAAGATATTGCCAGGGGATAAACTGTCCGAAAAAATGGGAGATCCAGCATGCAGAAGTTCAATGAATTGTTAATGTTTTGAAATTAGGCTGATTTTCGAGACATAAACTGAATGAGAATTCGAGTAGACTGATCAGGAAAGAATTCTTGGGTAAAGTGAAAGTGCGATCGACAATCAGTTCGAAGAATGTTTCGCTTGTCGTAGACAGTTCAAAAGATGTAAACGACGAATACCATTGACTGTGGGTAGTGTGAGTATCGCATTGAATGATTCCTTGATAAACTGCGGAGGCTCATCGTTAACGTCGCGTATCGCGATACGAACGAGTGCTGGCACAGCTGATGTTAGCGGTACTGCAGCCATATCCGCAGCTAGCACGTGAACTGACCATTCCTTTACCTGGAGGAGTATCAATAGAGATTAGACGATTATTTCGATTCTAAGCTGCACTTTGGCCTTTCTTCGGCATAAAGTAACAACAAGTACAGACAGTCAAAACACTTTATCAAGTATCTTATTTGATCTGCAAAATCAATAATGTTCAAAGAATTGCTCCTTATTAAAAGTGCTTTTCAAACTCTCACTGTTCAAGACAACCGTTTTTGAGCAATACGAACATTTCAG